TCCTCCATTCTCCTCTTGGGATCTTGGGCATGCACGCACACGTGCCCGGCGTGAGTTTTAAGCCACCGGGTCTGGGACGTGAACCGCGGTCGACTACGTAGGAATCCAGCGACATAGCCATTACGCTAACTGCTGGTTCCCAGATTGTGGATTCTTTAGTTTTTTTCTTACATGAACTCTTTTCTGGTTTATACCACAGTTCTCATTGTCCTCTGAATATGTCAGTCACATTCCTGACAGCCTTTCACTTTTTCTCACAAATGGGTAGTTAAAGAAAGCCTTAAGTATTACCTCTCATGAAGTGACTTCTGTTTTATTTAAAATTATAATTATCTAAGTCATATTCTCTAAAACAATTGTAGGAATACAGTCTAGCAGAGGAGTTTGAGTTGATTCTGATACAAGTAACATGGGAAATATAGTTGAGACCCTAAAATGTTAGACTTTTTAGAACATTTGGATGGATTATATGAAAAGTCAAGAGAGTATTTAAAGTTGACACTGTCCCCTCAAATCAGGACTTACAGTATACATATATGGACATTTTTATTGTGTAATTTTTAAATATTCATGTGGCATTATCAGGTAAATGAGACTGTTTAAATGAACTCCCCAGATTACTTATTTTTGGTGTAATTTTCAGTATGCTTTTTTTAAAAAAATTATTATTTTATTTAACTATTTATTTATTTATTTATTTTTAATTTGACCAGAGAGGGAGGGGGGCTTGAGAAAGCAAGTCGCCTGATCTGGGACTCAAACAGCGGTCAGCCGTTTGGGAGTTCAGTGCCCTTAACCACCATGCCACCTACCAGCCCCTCAATATGCATTCTTAAATAGTGTATTCTCAGTGTGATATAACTCTCGACATAATTTGGGTCCATTATGATTATTAGTTATTCTACAACATAGTGCAGAAGTGCCTTCAAATATTGTTCATATACAGGAGACTGTTCTTAAACTAGGTTATTTTGACCAGCTGTCTGTTTAGGTTTTTATGCCTAAAAACCTTCCTTTTTGTTGAGGTAGAATTCACATAGCATAAAATTATATGTTTTAAAATGTATACTTAGGTGACATTTATTATATTTATAACATACTAAAGAGGTGTACCAGTCACTTCTGTCTAGTTCCAAAATGTTTTGATTATTCTCAAAAGAGAGCACACATCCATTAAGCAGTCATTCTATTTCCCTCCTCTAAGCCCCTACCGGCAACTAATCTGCTCTCTGTCTCTATGGATTTAGCTCTTCTAGATATTCATATATATATATAGATGGAATCCTCCCTCAACTCCTTGCCTTTTTTTGAAGATATTTTTGCTGGCCTGGTCCCACAGTGCCATGCTTTAAGCACTGTGCACTAGGAGCCATAACCCATACTTGTTCTGTGATTTGAGTTCTGTGGTTTGAATCTTGGCCTCAGAGGCTTGAAAAACTTGTCAGGCATGTTTGCACGTGTACACCAAATCCCAACAAAATGGAGAAATGGAAGAAAAAGGTTTATGGCTAGGCTATTTCCTATTGAGAGGTTCTTTCTCTTTCTTTCTGTCTGGTGCATGAGTGAGCCCTCTGACAATTAAAAGAAAAGGTATTTTTGTTCTCCTCCCACCAAGACACTCACATACTCTTAATCTTCATATGCTAAGGACTATGAAACTAAAGCAAGTTCATTTAAGCTGCTGGAAGTAAGAGTAAACTCTGCGTGAGAATGTGTGGGAATTGTCTATGAGGAAAGGGCATATACTTCAGTGAGTGAACTTTGTGGTGTCTGCTCTGTCTGCCACGCAGCCTACTTACTTTCTGTTTCTTGACTGCATATAGAAAGGGTGAGTCAACCCAGAACAAGCAATGTGTTAATGTACAAGCCTACCTCCTCCTTCGGATTGTAGCTTTGATAGAGCAGGGACCATGTTTGTGAATCTTCATAGCACCCATCAGAATGTCTCACATATATAGTAGATACTTATTAGTACATGCTAGCTGATTGAATTAAAGATCCTATTTCTTTTTTTACACTGCTTTTCAGACTTTGGGATATGTTCTTTTGTAAGAAAAATTTTACATTTCTAAGTATTTCAAAATGGAATTGATAGTATTTAGAAATATCAAAAGTTTTTTTTAACATTACACAATTATATTTTTGGACACATAGCTGTAAGAAACAGTTGTATTTTAATAATGAAGCATGTGATTATCTATGGATAATGTGGATATGGATAATTCAGACTGACTATAACATAATATACTGGCAAGTGGAGGAGAACAATTACTAGTTGTGTTTAAAAAGCTTCATAGCTTGGGCTGACCTTATAACTCTGTGGTTAAGCACTGTGCATAGGGGAGCTGGATCCTGTGTGACTGATTACAGTTCAAATCCTTGCCTTGCCTTGACAATGTGAAACAACAACAACAACAACAACAACAAAACGACAGGCATGTGAGCTTCTATGCCCTGAATCCTGACAGGATAGAGAAATGGAGGGGAAAAAAAGGATTGAAGCATGACCACACCCTAGTAAGGGATGTTTTCTCTTATCTCTCACATGTGCTCTCTGAAAAGTTTCACATGCCCAAAACCCGTTTTCAGATTCTGGTTGAAAGTTACATGGATGAGGGACCAGCAGTTAGCGTAATGACTATGTTGCTGGACTCCCATGCAGTCACCCGCAGTTCTAGTCCTGGACCTGGTGGCTTAAAACTCATGCCAGGCGCATGTGCGTGCGTGCCCAAGATCCTGAGAGGAGAATAGAGGAGAAGGGATTGAGGCATGGCCATCCCCCCAGGGGTGATTTCTTGCTTTCTGTCTCTCTGTCTGGTGAACGCATGCACCCTATAGTAAAAACCTCTCCAAAAAAAAAAAAGAAAGAAAAAGAAAGTTACATGGATAATTATATCATTTGCGCTATTGAGAAATCACCCTGTAGGAAATAGTCTCAAAAGGTGTAGAGTAGTCTTCAGATACTAAACTCTTTTCTAACTATGTATGTTTTTATTATTTCAGAAGAAAAAGTTCTTGCATTTAGTAATATAGTACTATAATAAAAAATTTAAACATTTTGACATTTTACTATATTAGGCAGGGTATGTTACAAATCCAGTGAGCAGGTGCCCTTTTGATGAATTCATCTTCAGTTTAGCATATTTGTGTTATTTTAGACTCAGCTAGAGTATTAACTTTAAGAAATATTAAAAGGGCTCCTTACCATATAAAGTACTTTAAGTTTTAATTATATTCCCTCAGTAAAGGATGTCTGTAATAGTGACATTCCTAGGTATTTAGATTAGTAGAAATTTAAAGCTGAGACCTGGACCAACTAGTGGTGTGGTGGTTAGAACAGCTGGTTTCCACATGGCAGAATGAGTGGTTTGAGTCCTGGACCCAGCAGCTCGGAAGCCATACCAGGTGCATGTATGTGCAGTCCAAAATCCTGAGAGGAGTATGGGGAAGGGATTGCAATGTGGCCGTCCTCTCTGGGAGGTGCTTTCTCACTTTCCCTCTCCTCCAGTCCATCTCTCTCTGGCAAGTGCATGTACCCTGTGGTAAATTAAAACAAATAAATGAGACATTTGGATGAGCATTATAGATTGATCTTAATGTGATTTATAGTAATACTCTTTTTTTCTTTAGCTTATCTAATTGTTGTATGTATTTGTGTGTGTTGTGCACACACAAACACAAAAGTAATTAAAATTTTCTAATATATAGGTTTGGTATTTTACTGCTAAAACTTCAGTACTTAGATTCCAGTCTTAGTAATATATTGTCACATTCCATATGCAGTAGTTACATATAATATAATGATAGCTGTGATTATGTAGTACTTAACAAATACTTTCATGTATTTTTAAATTTATTCTTCACAACAACCCTATGAAAGAGGTAGGAGAAGTACTGATTCCCCCCACACCCATTTTACAGATGAAGAAACTAAGACACAGAGATTAAGAACTGTCTAAACTAACATGACCAGTAAGTGCTTGAATTAATGGAAATGGTTATTAATGGGTATGTTCTAATATGGTAAAGGCTTTTCTTACTGCTATTGTCTGAGTTCTAGGTACAAAAACACCAAGTAAATAAATTGATAGGAGTAGATGGATTTAAATTAACTATTTAAAAAAAAATTAATTTTATTATTATTAATTTTTAATTTGCTATAAGGCACGTGTGCTTACCAGAGAGAGAAACGGAAGATGAGAAAGGAAGCTGCCATGTCTGGGACTCAAACCAGGGTTGGCCATGTGGGAGTCTAGCGCCTTAATCACCACATCACCTGCTGGCCTGGTAGTAGATGGATTTTAGGGACTGCCAGGGAGATATGCTGTTTGTTTTTTTGTTTGTTTGTTTGTTTATTTTTAATTTCTTTCTGTTCTTGTTTCACCAATTAGTAATGGTATTTTGAGAGAGTGGATGATGTCTTGTTGTTTTTTTGTTACATGAATGAAGCTTTTTTTAATCCTTTTTTAGAAAAAAAAAATTTTAATTTTTGCGACAGGGCGTGTATATGTGTGAAAGAGAAAGAAGAGAGAGAGAAAAGTACCCTCCACAGGAGTTGGTCATGCTGTGGTCCCTTCCTCCAGTCCTCTGGCCCACCAGGATTCCAAACGTAGGTGACCAGCAGGTTTTCAATTGACAGGGCCAGGGATTTGAACCACAGGTGGTATATGGCTCCCAGATGTACATACCAATACACTATTGGCTGAGCCACAGACGCTCAACCTTTTAAATTTAACGGCATGAGGAACTAAGGAAATAGAAAATTTGAAGAGAAGTATTTTGGGATTCTAACAAGTTGATTGCTAGGATCATTTGAGTAGGTGAGAAAGTTAGCTAAAGTTAGTTAGATAAAACACATTTGTGTAATTGGAAATTAATTCAGCATTGAAACTTTTAGGGCTCTCGTTAAAATTTTTAAATCCTGGTTTAAAATTGTTCTACTACTATAATATACAAATCTTTGAGCTTGGGAATACTTATCCAACTGTGGTTTTCCTCAGATGAGGACCCTGAAGGGTACAGAAGTTGAAGCTCTCCCAGCATCATGTAGCAGAGCTGAAACTAGAGCTTACATTTCCCGACTTCTAGATTAGTGTTATTTTTACTTCAAACCATTAACTTCTTGGTAAGCTGTTCTTAAAATACTTAACAAGTCTTTTGTATCTGTAATTTATGTGTTTGATTAACATTCCTACTGTTGGTCAAAATGAAATTAAAAATGAAAATTTGAATTCTTTGTTTAATTTTAGGTGAGTTAATGTGGGAAAAATTCCTGGTGTTTTGAAGATGTCTCGGCACAGTATGTTTCCTGTTTAAATTACAAATAACTTGAAGAGGTTTCAGAAAAAAAAGAAATTGGGAGATTTTTGTTAAATCATGTCATCCGAACAGAAGCAATTATTTTGTGATGAAAAACAAAATACTTTAAAAAAAGATTATGATATGAGAAATGAGATCATTGATACCATCAGATTATACCCTAAACCAAAAATTTCAGAAAGTAGTTTTCATTATGAACTAAAAAATGTAAAAATTGATTTGCCGAAGATAAATATTCCGAATGAAGTTATATTGAAACATGAAATCGACAGATACAGAAAATTATTCCAGAGTAAACCACAGACTGCCAGGAAATCTATTGGTGTAAAGACTGTAAGCTGTGGAGAAGACTGTATATTGCTTCATAAGTCAGAGAAAGCTGAAGAAGGAAGTATAAAAATGTCTGCAAAAATACTCAGTTTCACCTGTTTAAAATGCCGAGACAGCACTCGCTATAGCCCAAATGATTTGCAGAAACACTTTCACATGTGGCACCGTGGTGAATTACCTTCTTATCCTTGTGAAATGTGCAGTTTTTCAGCAAATGACTTCCAGGTATTTAAGCAACACAGGCGAACTCACAGAAGCACTTTAGTAAAATGTGACATTTGTAACAATGAGAATGTATATACTCTATTGGACTTGACAAAACATTTCACATCCACGCATTGTGTTAATGGTAATTTTCAATGTGAAAAGTGCAAATTCTCCACTCGGGATGTTGGCACATTTGTTCAGCATATTCATAGACATAACGAACTCCATTATAAATGTGGTAAATGCCAACATGTATGTTTTACCAAAGGAGAACTTCAGAAGCACCTTCATATTCACTCTGGTACTTTTCCCTTCACTTGTCAATATTGTAGCTATGGTGCCACCAAGAGAGAGCACCTTGTGAGACACGTTATAACTTTGCACAAAGAGCATTTATATGCAAAAGAAAAACTGGAAAAAGACAAGTACGAAAGACGGATGGCAAAGACTTCAGGACTTAAGCTAATACTGAAAAGATACAAAATAGGTGCATCAAGAAAGATATTCTGGAGACGGAAGAAGATTAGCAATGGAAGTGATCGAAGTATAGAAAAAAGCATGCAGATACTTAAAGTGAAGAAAACACAGGCTGAATCTGACGACCAGCACCATCTTGTTGAAGAGCATTTAAGTGAAGAAAAGGATGAAAGTCTGCCCTATGAGAATCTTGCTGAATCAGAGTCAGAAAAGCCAACTCTTCTATCTGCTGCTCAGTGTAAAAGAGCTGAAGAGGAATCAGATGCTTCTTTATCGAGGACTTCTGCTGCTGTACAAGGACCAACAGTGTTAATGGTGAAAAGTAATAAAATAACAATTCCTTCTAACTACAGTGCTAAGTTTATGGGCTTTAAAATGGTGGATGGAAAACAGCATATTCTAATAAAATTGCTGCCTACCAGTAAACAGAATCCACATTCACCAGGCTCACAATCAGATGCTATGAAGGACAGTGCAGTGAATTTGCAGCCCCAGACTTTGGACACTACTGGATTTTTAACAGGAGTAACAACTGAGTTAAGTGATGCAGTTTATGTGAAAACCGCTACTTCATTTTCACGTTCATCTCCTATACTTTCAGGGAAAATAATTTCAGAAAAAGAAATAGCTTTGCTATCCCAAAGGAACAATATGTTTCAAACAGTGGGTTTTGAAAAAAGTGTGTCGTCTTTGCCAACATCAGAACTGTTTACACCATCAGTGGATTTGACCACAAAAGTTGAAACAAGAAATAATGTTGAGTTTTGGGGAAATCATGTTACTCAGAGTCACCCCGAGGTATTAGGTACTGCCATTAGAAGTCCAGATAAAATGAACTGTACTACCAAACCAAATGCATTCACTAGTGGAGATATGCATAACTATTGTGTTAATTATGTCAACTCAGAGTTACCTGTTGAATCTTCCAACCAAGGATCATTACCTTTTCACAATTACTCAAAAGTGGATAACTCCAATAAACGTCGTAGGTTTTCGGGAACAGCAGTGTGTGAAAACTCTCAAAGAGAATCTCCATCAAGTAGGACAGTTGTTCAACAGCCAATTAGCGAGTCTGTTTTATCACTAGTGAGGAAGGAGAGCTCAAACCCAGATAGTCTGTTAGCATCCATTAGCCTTTTCAATGATAAAGATGGAATGTTAAAAACGAAAGCTGAAATGGAAGAACAGTGCTTTTTAGAAAAAGAACAAAGCATTGCTAGACAAAACCTATTCACTAATGAAAATCAAAATGTAGAGTGTATGACTGAAAAATCTAAGTGGGATGGCATTTCTAATGTAGATTCACCTATGATGCCTAGAATCACATCTGTTTTTTCTCTCCAGAGTGAACAGGCATCAGAATTTTTGCCACCTGAAGTAAACCAATTACTGCAAGATGTATTAAAAACAAAACCTGACATAAACCAAGACTCTAGGAACACTCCTGATAAAGGCCTGCCACTTCGCTGTGACCAGTCATTTCAGAAACATGAGGGAGAAGGCAGAATACCCGAATCTTCAAACGACTTCAAAGTACAAGATGTTTTCCAGGTCCCATCTGGCAGTGGGGGTATTCATGTGCCTGCAAATGATCTGAACTTAAACTGTGGTGAAAGAGCAAAGCAAGTGCTGTCGGTGCCACAAGATTCAGAGAAGATCCCCAGAATTTCAGCTATCGGCACATTACTTAAGACTCAATCAGATGCAATAATAACACAGCAGCTTGTAAAAGACAAACTGCGAGCCACTACACAAAATTTAGGTCCTTTATACATGCAGAGCCCACTTCTAAATTCAGAACCAAAAAAAACTGTCTTTGTTCAGGCTCCAAAAGGTTTTTTGGTTCCGTTGCATGTTGCTAACAAGCCTGGATTACATGTCGTTTCAGGAAGGCCACTTCCACTGGTGAATACACAAGGTGTACCTGCTTCTCTTGTCTTAAACAAGAAACCTGGGATGATCTTAACATTTAATAGTGGGAAACTCGAAAGTGCTAACGCTGTCAAAACTGAGAATGTGCAAGCTTGTGGGACTTTGACTAAGGAGCCTTGCAAAACACCTTTCTTAAAGGTAGAACCAAACAATAATTGTCTTACACCTGCACTTTGTTCCAGCATCGGCAGTTGTTTGAGCATAAAAAGTAATTCAGAAAATACTTTGTCATTAAAAGGTCCTTACGTTATTAAAACACCAACCAGTCCTTCAGTCAAAGTCGTTCCTCCTGCAAATGTGCTGTCTGAGCATCAGGGTACTAAATTGAATGTCTTGGATTCAGTAAAACAACAGAATGAGATTTTTCCAAAACAGCCCCTTTATACCCTCTTGCCTGATGGCAAACAAGCTGTTGTGTTAAAATGTGTGATGCCAAATAAAACCGAGCTGCTTAAACCGAAATTAATCCAAAATACTACTTATTATCAAAATATACAGCCAAAGAAACCTGAAGGAACATCACAAAAAATATTGCTGAAAATTTTAAACCCTGTGTTAAATGTGACTGCTGCTAATAATCTGTCAGTAACCAACTCTGCATCCTCGTTGCAGAAAGACAGTGTACCACCTAATCACACTATAGGAGGAGAGCAGAAAGAGCCAGAATCTTCTAGAGATGCCTTACCCTTCTTATTAGATGACTTGATGCCAGCAAATGAAATTGTGATAACTTCTACTGCAACATGCCCAGACACCCCTGAGGAACCAGTGGGCATCAGTGACCATGCAGAGGCCAGGGTATTAAGGTGTAAAACAAACTGTACAATTGAGAAAAGCTTCAATAGAAAAAAGAGTTCCCAAAACAATTTTTCAAAAATAAAAACTCATGGAAGAAGGAGAGATTCTGAAACTGCCTTTGTATCTAGAAACAGAAACTGTAAACGGAAGTTTAGGGATAACTACGAAGAACCTCCAAGAAAAAAAGCAACATTGCATAGAAAATGTAAAGAAAAGGCTAAGCGTGAAGATGTTCAGAAACCACAGGGATTCAGCAGGCCTAGGCTTTCAAAAGATGCTGTCAGAACTTTGCGGCTTTTCCCTTTCAATTCCAAACAGCTTGTGAAATGTCCTAGGAGAAACCAACCAGTTGTGGTTTTGAATCATCCTGATGCAGATGCACCAGAAGTAGTAAATGTAATGAAAACCATTGCTAAATTTAATGGACACGTACTTAAGGTTTCATTGTCAAAAAGGACTATTGATGCTTTACTGAAACCAGTTTGTTGGAACTCTTCTGTAACAACTTGTGATGATTTTTCCAAGAGGCATAAAACATTTAAACCTCTCAGTTCCGTGAAAGAAAGATTTGTGCTAAAATTAACACTCAAAAAGACAAGCAAAAACAATTATCAGATTGTGAAAACTACCTCTGAAAATGTTTTGAAGGCTAAATTTATCTGTTGGTTTTGTGGTAGAGTATTTGACAATCAGGATGCTTGGGCTGGCCACGGGCAGAGACATTTAATGGAAGCTACTCGTGATTGGAATATGTTAGAATAATTTTCGATAACCACCAAGAAGAAAAAATAAAATGACCTTAAAGGGTAATAACTGGGTTGCATTAATACAATGCAGACATTTTCCACTTTGAAATGGTACCTGAAATTAAAACATTTAAAAATGTAGTTGTATTTTACTGGAGGAGCAAAAGTTTCATGTGTGATATATGAGAATGTTAACACCACACACGTCAGTTTTGAAAGAAACTAGTCACCGCACAGATGTACCTTGGTTTGATTTTTTTTTTTTAATGTGTTTTTGGGATGTTGGGGGTACAGAAGTTTTGATAAAACCATTTTCCCAATTCTTTAGTGACTTGTAGTAGAGGGTACTGGCTGACAGCCCCATTCCCTCTCTTCTTCCACCAGCCTTAGGAATCTCAGTAGAGCTCCTCTGAAGATGGAGAGCTTTTTCATGATGGAACTGAAGGAATTTCTCATTTATGAAGATGTACTGGGAGAGCTTGGGTAAAGAACTTACTCTCCATCTGCTAAATGAAGTTCTTTTGCAGGGCTTGTGGCGGCTTTGAAAGTCCTTTAACTCACTACAGTTACACCTCATATGCCAGAGTCTTGAACAGCCTCCAAAGGTGATTTTCCTATCCCAAGTGGGTCTGTCAAGCATTACAGATTGGCAGCCTCAAGAGAGCCTCAAGATTTAAACTTGTCTAAAGTCCAATTAAAGAACGGGAATGTTCTTCTGAATTTGTTATCTTCAGTGATCTTGCACAAAACTATGTTTATCTGATAGAAAATGTTTGTCTCCCGTAAATCAAATGGCCATTTTTTTCTTCTTGGTTGCCATCCCTTTTAAAAGAGTGGAACACAAAAGCACTTCTAAGGGAATGGCTCTTCTTGAAAATTAAAAAGTTTTCTACAGAATAATATTTTGAAGCAAGATTAACAAAGCAAATTGTATTTTTATCTGTTTCATTTGATTTAGATATGTCCACATTAGGCTAAACCATTTTTTGTTAGCAATTTCTCAGTGTGACTGACAGCCCAAAGCAGATACATACTGATTATTAGCAATTGAAAATAGGGAATCATTAACAGGAGACCCAGTGGCAGTGCATAGACCTTTAGGACACATTCCTAAGGGACATGCACAGCGCTCTTAAAATGGAATCGTTTTCATGACAATAAAATCATAGATTTAACTTTTCACCTTATAAGTTTGGATTATATTTTACTGGATCATTGAATAATGGAGTTCTCGTATTACAGAAATTACACACTATGTGATTTTTTTGTTATATTGTTAATATAAATGTTAATGACATTTTCATTGATTGGATGAAAACTTCAGGGCTTTTCTGTATATAACAAAGAAATTAAATCTGTACATATTTTTGTACCTTTCATTTATGTAAATTTTGCACAGAAAGTTTTTGACATAAAGTTTATTTTCTTTCAGTTTAGTTTTGTGCATGCACTAATAATTAAACTGGTTGTTTAATTTAAAAGGAATATATAAGACTTTACCCATATTTCTTATTTTTTTTTTCAGATGTAGATTTTTTTTTTGAGACAAATTCATTTTTCAGGGATTGAACACTATTGTTAGCAAGTGCCTAAAAAAGATGTGAAACAGTTTACATAAGTCAACTGTAACAGTAGGTCCCGAGTGGGCCCATTCCCCTCATAGTTTTATTTTGAAGAAAGCCATACAGAGATGCTCCAAGCTGTCTTGCTATGCACATATACTTGTACTGTTTTTGTGCAGTTTGTCTACTTTCTTAGTGAAGTATTTTTTGTATAAAACCTATTACAATTGTGTTTCTTAAATTGAGCCTAAGAATGGAGTTGATTGGAAATATGCAGTATATATTAATAATGTATATGGTGTTTAAAGAATGGTTAGCATTGTTAAATTTCTGTAATGAGCATTTTCTTCTATTAAATTTATCTTAAGTTTGTGTTTATACAGAATCTTTTTTTTTTTTTTTTTTACTTTATTAAAATCTAAAGAAGCAGCCAGAACAGTCTTCTTCCCGTTTCCCTAACAGCAAGTTAGGGGTACTTCTTCAGAGTAGGGATGAGACAGGAGTTGGACCCCATTTACAGGTAGATAGAGCAGCCCTGCCCCCCCCAAGAGGAAAGCTCTCCTGTGTGACTCCTGATAATTCCTCTTCTCCCAGTCACCATATTCCTTTGACCTTAGACATTTAAGTCTTGTTCCTGAATAACCCATGACCCAAAACTTGTAGTCAAAGAATCTCCTGGCCTTGGTATCCACTCCAAAATAGGAAAATAACTGGAGCCATCCAGCGTGTGCCCCTCCCCGCTACTAGGGAAATGCACATGTAAGCCCCACATAGAACAAGCCTGCACAAGGCCCCTCAGATCCAGATTAAAACCCCTCGACCTAGTTCCGTCCCAGTTCCTCTTAAGCAATCCATTTTCTTGGGAGCTCTGCTCTTCCTTCCCTCTCCTTCAGTAAACTCCCTGCTTTGCTATACCTACCTACAAAAAAAAAAAATCTAATTGGGGGGGCAGCAGGTGGTGTGAAGGCACTGGACTCCTACCTGGCCAACCAAGGTTCCAGCCCTGAACCCAGTGACTTGAAAGTCATGCTAGGTGTGTGTGTTTGTGTGCCCAAAATCCCGAGAGAAAAATGCGGAAGGACTGTGGTATGGCCATCTCTGTGCTCCCCTCTACCTCCGCCCTGGGGAGTGCTTTCTCACTTTCCCTCTGTCTCTGTTTCTCTTTGGTGAGTGCATGTGTCCTATGGCAAAAACCTTTAAAAAAAGAGAGGGGGAACGAGCAGTTAGCATAATGGCTATGTCGCTGGACTCCCACGTAGTCGACCACGGTTCACGTCCCGGACTCAGTGGCTTAAACTCACGCCGGGCGCGTGTGCGTGTGTGCCCAAGATCCCGAGAGGAGACTGGAGGAGAAGGGATTGCAGCGTGGCCATCCCCCCCGGGGGGTAATTTCTTGCTTTCTGTCTCTGTCTGTCTCTGTCTGTCTGGCGAGCGCACACACCCTGTA